AGAAACAGATATCACTATCTATATCAGTCTGTGGTTCTATCAGAGAGTATTTCACCACTTGCTGTTTATACGACCCGGTCTGTGATAGAGTGTGGTACCAGCTGTTATCACCATTTGTTCTGTAGATCGTTTGTGTTTGTAAATAACCAGTGTTTGGTGTATGATCTGGTAACAGCAACAGGACTTATACCTACACCAGGAACGAGTTATTATATAGTTGATAGAAGAATATAGACTATTCAATAATGCTTACACTAGGAGCAAGTTATTATATAGTTGAAGGGTTGAGGTACTAGACGTAGTTTGTAATACCTTGACATTGTGAAGATGCTTTTAGAATCAATGATTTCAAACTAACAAATATTCATAACGTGATATCGAAAATTCCTTTTGATCTTTTAGTCGTATAAATAAATGGGATGTGCTTAGATGTGTTATAACTTGTATATATCGAAATTATAGAGGAAGGCGAGTGTCCTTAGTTTTTATCACAGATCATTGCTGGTACATTAGTCAAACCCTCTTCACTTGGGTCAACAAATAATAACTAAATTGTATTCATATCATCGCTGTGTACACAGTAGCGAATTAAGGGGCCATGGCCTCCCCACTGGGCCAGTGATAGGTCCTTTTTTGAAGTAAATATGTTTCCCTTAGAATTCCTTAAATTCATCTCAGGCCATCTGAAATTTATTGGCTTCTAGGGATCCTCTTGTAACCCCTTCAGACATTTCTGATTGGTTAAAACTCTTAATTATATGCAATAAGAACAAACCTATGTCCTAAACAATTAAGTAGAGGAAAAACACTTTCCCTCGGATTTTTATGAGATTAAGGGTTTTGAATATCATAAAAACTCACTGGAAAGTGTTTTATCTGACTTCTCAACTACTCTCAATTTTACCATACTTTGAACAAAATTTTTATTAAGGGTATTGTTTTGCTTGTACAGATTTTAATTCTGTATCGACAAAGTAATCTGTGAGTGGAAGAAAGTAGGTCATCTTTCGTTCACTTCGATTGGCTTTCGAAAATACTTGTGCCAATCACTTTATATGTCGTAATCAACCGACTTGCCCAGTTTTACCATCAGCATTTAAGTTTCTAGAATCAATCCTTACAGATTGTGTCTCAGTGAAAACAAGTGGCAGAACCTAGTTACTAAAAACAGACATTCTGGAGTCAAAACTAGTACAGAGAATTACTCCGGGATTTTATATTTTATATCGCCAGAACAATAGGATGATGTCACTGTAAGATAGTAAAAATACATCACGGAGAATGTTCATCAGATACAAAAAAGTCATTAAAAGACTAATGCGCACCATGTATAGCACGTGGTTCAAGCGGGCAGTAACTATTGTCTTTTTTCAATGTGACACAAATCCAGTTATGTTTTAAGTCAATTTGGTCTTTCATCGCACCGCTTTCGGTAGACTTCAAACGTTGATCACCTTTACCTTAATTTCTTGTTTGTTAAATGAAGCATTTGCCTAATTTGCCTTGACGTAGTTGCGGCCCTTGTTTCAAGTTATGTTCTACCACCACTTGAAGAGACAATCAGAATGAGAAATAATCAGAAACAAAGGTTTAACAATCAAAAGACATGTATATTGTATCAATATCACCTTCAATACACGAATCTTTATAATTTACAGTTTTCTCCCTTTATCAGAGATCTTTCATATTGTAATCATACATTTGACATTGCAGTCAAACAATTTTACTTCCAAAATCGCGTTAGATTAATATTGTCCAGTCTTCTCCTTTTTGCTGCATCCCCACCATGGCCACTAACATCTACCAAGGCACACCTGAACCCCATCTTTAATG